AAAAAAAAAAAAAAAAAAAAAAAAAAAAAAAAAAAAAAAAAAAAAAAAAAAAAAAAAAAAAAAAAAAAAAAAACAAACTGCCCTTGCAACAAGAATGAGTTTATATATCATTTTGCTTAACAAATCTGAAGGAGAAGAAGCAAAGAAGGTGCAGAAGGCTAAAGCATGTGTATAAGTGCATTCAGAGGATTCTGGGAATCACCCTATGTCCCAGATTACCATCACAACGATCCGATTTATTTTTCATATTTATAAAAGATATATCCATGTAATAATGTAACAAAAGCTATCCAAGTGATGACATTTCAGTAGCACAAAAATCTGTTCCCTCAGTCCAGTGAACAATCGACACAAATCATTTGTTCAAATTCCTGCAATTGATAATCGTTAGAAAAGTCGTACATATATCAGAATGCATAAATTTTATAATTCAATATCTACCACTCACATTATATTAAAAAAAAAATTAAGAAATATTCGAAATTTAAAATAATTACTATATTTCTCTTATTTCCTTATTTCTCTTTAACATCATCTTGAGATTTAGAATTTCTTGTCTCAAATTAATACTCAGTCGAAAAATATTGTGAATAGCATTAACTTGCAACGCTGGCTTCAGCAGACAAGCCACACCCTTCTCTTCTCTGTCAATATCAACCGGTCACCGGATTACGGTCTAATCCCATAACTGATTTTATTCCCCTATTATGTCTGCTACTTTTGAACAGCCTGTCGTTCCCCCTTCGGAAGAATCCCTAGATTCATTATCACTTCCTTCTGCACAGCTTCAAAAAGCTCATGAAGAATTTGAACAAATAAATAATGTCACCGAAGTTGAATCTTCCTCCTCAACAAATACTTATAATACAGAAGGAGCCATTATGAAGTCTGTATCTTATGATACAGATTTCCCTTCACTTTCCGTGGCTGGTACAGCTACAAAGTCCTCCTCTGTTGTATGGGGTACTCGCTCTGGTGCCGAACTCGTTCGCTCTGACATTCCAATCATCGATAATCGTACATCTAAATTACCTACCACACATGCTGCTGTTACTGCTGTTACTGCTGTAAAGAAATCAGGTATCATTACCGAAAGACTCGAATTACCCGCCTCACAGCAGTTACAAAAAAAAGAATTTGGAAATAAAACCACTACGGCTGATATCGTTAAACGTGTACGCGATAAAACAAATACTCATATAGATGTATCCACTGGACAAAAAACTGGTATTACCACGTTTTTGATCAAAGGGAAAATAGAAGATGTTATGAGAGCAAAACGTGAATTATTGGAAAATTTAGCAGTTAAGGTTTGCTATCAATTATTTATCATGCATTTAATTCTGCATTTACGCTTTCTTTTTTATTTCTTTTTTATTTCTTTTTTATTTCTTTTTTATTTCTTTTTTATTTCTTTTTTATTTCTTTTTTATTTCTTTTTAATTCTTTTAATTCTTTTAATTCTTAGAGTGAAGTAACTATTCAAGTTCCGGTTTCTGCGCGTCGATTTATTCTCGGATCTCGTGGTCAAACATTACAAGGAATTACCTTAAAAACTGGTACTCGCATTCAACTTCCTCCTCGTCAAGAAAATTCAGCGGAAGAAAAAACTGAATTTGATAATGATGAGGATGAAATTATGGTTGTCAAAATTGAAGGTGATGTCAAAGGTGTAAACGAGGCTAAAGCGGAAATTGAAGCCATTGTTAACGAAAGGGTAAATATTCTTTCAAATAATGATATCTTAGAGTAAATATAAATATCGATAGTTAATATTAATATAAATTTATAATATATTAATTAAATTATTTACAGTCAACTAAGCGTAACCATCGTATAACTCATATTGAACATCAATTTTATCCTTTAATCGCTGGTGCTCATAATCAACGTATTAATCAAATTGCCGAGGAAACTGGAATTAAAATTCATGTTCCTCCTTATATCGCTACTGTTGAAAATAATGAATCAAACACCAAAGATTATATCACTTTAATTGGAGAACGAGATTCCGTGAAAACGGCGGCTGATAAGATCGAAGCGATTTATGTTGATCTGGTAAACTAAAAGTTTTTGTACAATTTCATATTATCTTATCTTAAATAACTTGACTTTACATTTATATTATTTTTTAATAGAAAAATAATACCCGTACATTATCTTATGACATCCCAAAACGTCAACACAGGTTTTTAATTGGTCCAAAAGGTGTCCATCTTCATGAACTTCTTGAATCTACTGAATGTTCTTTGGAACTTTCACCTTCATCAAATACTATAGTTATTCGTGGTCCTCAAAGTAAACATCCAATTGCATTACAAAGTGTATTGGAAAGGGTTGATATTGTATCGCTTGACGTTACACTTATTCACAGATCAGCGGAACAACCTTTGGAACATGCGAAAAATATTTTAAAATATTTAGTCAATAGAAGTAAACTTAGGAAAATAGAGACTGATTTTAATGTTCAAATAATTGTACCTAAAGGTCATGAATTAGAAAATGAAGTATTTTTGGATTTTATTAGTAAGGTTTCTGAAGATGCAGAAAAAGCTAAAAACGAAGTAACAGAAATGATCAAAAATTTAGTACGTATATTAATTAATAATATAATATTTTATTTATTTTATTTTTAATTTCTAAATTATTATTATTATTATTTTTTTTTTAAAAACTTATTAAAGCCTCCAAATAATTTCACAATTGCGACCATTGAACCACATCTTCATAGGCACATTATTGGTCGTAAAGGTCAAAATCTTCAACGCGTAAAAGAGACTTATGGAGTTGAAATAATTGTACCCGATGAAAAAGATGAAAACCCAGTTATTTTAATTGTTTATGAAGGAAAAATTGGCGAAGAAATTCCCACGGATAAAAAATTGAAAGATTCACATATTAAGGAAGTTTTAGAAAAAGTTAAAGTAGAATTGATTAAGGCTGCCCAAGATGCCGTAAGATATTTCAAGATATTTAGAATTTGTATAATTATTTTTATCTTTAGTTTTTTATATTATTTAATTTTTAAAGATCTCAGAAATAACAATAACGTATTTATGTTTGTAAAACTTGTTGATATTTACAGTCCGATTTTGCAACTCAAACTCTCAGTATTCCCGTTAAATTCCATCGACATATAATTGGTCCAAAAGGTTCAACTTTAAATAATATTACTGGAGGAATGGATGCTCCAGTTTCTGTTAAATTTGGGTCTTATCGAACTGGTGCTGCAGAACGATCTGCTAATGCAGAAGGTAAAAAGTTAACTCAAGCACCTATTTCTAATGATATTGTAATAATTAAAGGACCAACTGAAGAGGTTGAAAGAGTTGTAAGGGAAATAAATAAAGTGGTTGAAGAATCAAAACATGCTGAGGTACTATCATTAAAAATTATTAAAATTATTAAAAATATATTTATTATGTCTTTCAATTTTTGAAATTTATAAATAATTATAAAATGATGATTAATTTAAATATTTTTAAACATATTTTTAGATTATGAATTCTTACACTATTGATTTCAATTTTCCTGCTCAATATTCTGCTCATATAATTGGAAAAGGCGGGGCTCATGTAACTATGTTGAAAGAAAATTTGGGTGTCAGAATTGACATTGAGGGAGGAAGGAATGAAGAAAAAAAGACTACTCCTGGTGAAAATGTCAAAGTTACTATTACGGGTATGAAAGAAAATGTAGAAGAAGCGAAAGCTAAAATTTTAGATCTTATTGATAAATTGCAAGATTCTGCAACAGAATGCCTTAAAATTCCATCAGAATATCATAAATCATTAATTGGTACCAGAGGTCGTTATGTTAAACGTCTTGAGGAAAAATATGGTGTTCACATACGTTTCCCAAGAACTAGAGATTCAGTAGAGGAAAGTGAAGAGGATGTAGATGCTCAAAAACCTGATGAAGTCATTATTAAGGGAAGAAAGAAAGGAGTTAATGATGCTAAAGCCGAATTGATGGATTTGTTAGATTATGAAAAAGATCATGGAAATTCTGTAAAATTTACTGTTCCTTCTAAATACCTTCCTCACATTGTTGGTCGCAATGGTACTAGAATTACTGACATCAAAGATGAAACCATGACTCGTATAGATATTGGAAAACCAGAATTCTCAGAAGAAGACGGTCAAGAACAACAAGTTGTAAGCGTGGTTATTCAAGGAACTAAGGATGACATTAATAATGCAAAAAATAAAATCCTCAATATCGTAAGTGAATTTGAAAAACAGACCACTATTACAATGAATATTGATCCTCAATATCATAAATATTTGATTGGTCCTGGTGGTAGCCGTATTCGTGAAATAGTTGCTAAAGCAGGTGGTCCCGATGAAAAAAGTGGTCAAGCTGGTATTGTGAAATTTCCTCGTCAAGGTTTTAATAGTGACGAGGTTATTCTTAAAGGTGATAAAGATCTTGTAGGGAAAGTAAAGGCTGAAATTGAAAGATTAGTTGAAGAACAGGTATTCAAATTATTTATTCTATAAAAAATCGTTCAAAATTATTCGTATTATAATATTTATAGAAATAATTTATTAATTAATATATTAATTAATTATAGAGTAATCTTCAAGTTGATGTTATTCGAATTCCACGTTCGCAACATCATATTATCATTGGACGTGCGGGTTTTCAACTTCGTGAAATTCAAAATCGATTCAATGTAGAGATACAATTTCCTGGATCTCGTTCTTACAATGATTTTCATCCAACAACGACTAATGTTGGTGAAGAAATTGAAAATATTGAAGAGGCCGTGAAAATTGCTGGTAAAGCTGATGATATTAAAGCCGCTAAAAATGAGATTCACGAAATTTTAGTGAGTTAATTGACTTTTTATCTATTACATTCCTTAACCTTAAATTTTTAAGTTTACCCTTTTTCATTAATTATTTTGAAATTATTATTTAGTCTAAAGTTTACAGTCATGTAATCAATATTCCACGTAAATACCATAAGATACTTATTTCTAATGGAATTAATTTTCGTAAACTTCGGAACGAATTTCATGTTACAGTGGATTATGATGATGGAGTAGATTGGCACACTACTGAAGAAACCAAAGAATCTGTTGTGGCTGTTGAAGAATCTGTTGTGGCTGTTAATGGAATTGATAATGAAGGTAATTCTGGTAAACCAAAATGGCAAGTTATTAAAAATAATGATGATACTGCTGATGAAGGGGAAATTGCCTGGAATTTGAAAGGTGAAAAATCGCAGGTTGAACGAGCAGAAAAGTATTTGAATGAAATTTTAGATGAAGAGGTAAAGATTATTTTACTTAATTTAATAAGTCTTTACCTTTTTGTACATATTTTTATTTACTTATTATTTATTTTCTTAAATATTATTAGAGAACTTATACCCACACCAGTTCTATTACAGTTCCTCAACAATATCACCGTCACATTATTGGTCGTAGTGGCCAAACAATTACTCGTATTCGTAACGAAAGTAAATGTAGAATTGAGGTTCCAAAAGCTCAAAACGATGAAACAGTAATTATTACTGGATCTGAGAAGGGTATAGATATAGCTCAAACAATGATTAAAGAAGTTATTGAAAGAGCTGGATAAAGATAAAAGAAGTTATTTAAAAACATAGAATACTTTTACTTTTTTTTTAATACCAAAAAAAGAGTCCATAGACTACTTTCGACAAAACGAATAATTTGGGAATATATTTATTATTATTTAATAAAATGTAATATCATCGTATAATTTATTCAATAAAAATAGATTACTTTTACATAAAAATACAACTTTTTCATTATACAAGAACGAACTAATATTTACAATATTAAACCATCAACTTGTCACTCGAGAATTCGAGAATGTTATAATTAATAATTATCAATGAAGTAAATATAAAAATGAAACGTAGAAGGATCCCTGCAAGAATCGAAAGCTTCAAACAAGATTAGGTATTCCTGTCTTTTGTTTTTGATTGGAGGCTTTTTTTGCTAGATCAGACGCTTAACAAGAAAAAAGCCTTTTATATTGCTATCATTTTATATCATTTTTTACTGGTAACACAATTACTAAAATCTATGTCAATGATATCGATATGTAGGAAAATATATGTATACATCGCATATGTCACGAACTGCTAAAATAACTTTAACTTCCGCTATCATTATTTCTGCAGGAACGATATTCGGAGTTCATTATTTACAAAAGAAAGAAAAAGAGGTAATTTATCCTTGTGTAAATTTTTTGGAATAAATAAAAATTTAGTGATTATAAAATTTAAAATTTGGAAGTAATGAAAATTTTAATAGTAACAAAAAATTTAGCAGTAATGATAATAATAATATTTTAAAGTTTATGCATGCAGGAATAATACGAGATAAGGAACGAAAAGAGAAAAAACTATTAAATTTTGAAAAAAATCGCTTAGAATTTGAAAATCAAATTAAATTACAACATGAATTCGAAAAAATTCAGCCTGTCTTGAAGGAAGAAAAATAAATAAACAAATATACAAGAATTTTTCATTATAATAAATAAATAATATATAAAAAAAATGACTTTATTATTATTATTATTATTACTACTTTAATTCTTCAAAGCAAAGTGTTCCAATTTTTTGACCATATTTAATTTTTTGACCAGGTTTTATATAAAATTTAAAATCTAAAGGTGCTTCAAATACTAATACAATTGTAGAACCTAAATAAAAACCTCCCATTTCATCACCAACTCTTAAAGGATGTCCTGATAAAAGTTTACTGGAATTTTTATAAGATGCTTCAGTAAAAGTTCCAATCGGTATATTTTCTTTTCGGTTAGTACGAAGAGCCTAAAAATAACAAAGCAACGAAAGTAACAAAAACAAAAAAAAATAAAAATAAAAATAAAAATAATTAAATGCGTATTAAAAAAAAATAAATAAAATAAATGTAAAATTAATTTATAAGACAAGTTAAATACCCGATCAAAATTAATCTTGATAGAACCAACATTCGTAGCTCCAACTGGAACCATTGCGAAAAATCCATATTTCCATCTTCCGAGCAAAGCAACACGTTCATTTAAGACAAATAGATTTGGTAATAGTTTTATCATGTAAGGAGAAACCGAATATAATTCACCTAAACGTAAATAATTTTATAATAATTATAAAGGAACTCGAATTCTTCAGAAGAAAATACTTATGATTGATCAACAATAATAAAGTATTTACCAGCAAAATGTCTTCTCGATTCAATCACCCAATTTGTTGGGGAATGAAATCTATGATAATCACCTGGTGCAAGATAAACAACATAAAAGAATAATGCATTTCCTTCTTTTACTTGATGCCTATGAATAGCTCCAATTTGATCCAAGGTTACATTTTTAGCGACGATTTGTTCTTTTGTTTCAAATGTTTCCTTGTAATTATTCCCATTCTCATTATTCTCAATATTCTTAAGTTCATTATTCTCATTATTATATTTAATAGATTTAATCAATCCTCCTTCAACCCCTCTTATGTTACTTTCTTTTTTAATTGAATCATCATCACCCAACAATGAATCCAAAGAATATGTAATACCATTGACATTCGCGAATTCTTTTTCATCCGTTATAGTATTATTAGTAATTGTTTTGTGACCCAAAAATGAATCCAATGAATAGGTAACTCCTTTAACTTGTTCTATTCTTCCTTCCGTTATTATACCGAAAGTAACAATTTTTCCATCGGCGGGTGAAACCTGAAATTCTAGAAGGATTAACCGATAAATTCATAGAAAAAAAAAAGAACTAACAAATAATAATAATAATGATTAATATTAATATTAATGATTATAATAAAATTGAGAATTCTCACAAGAAATTCATCTTCAATAGGTCGTACATCAGGTTTTAGTGATCTATAAAAAAATGATCCTAAATTTGGATAACTTTTTAGATCAGGATTTTCTATTTCGTCTAAATTACAATTAAATAACCAACTGTATAGCCTATAAAATGGTTCTCGAAGCCAAATTGGTAAAGTATATTCATTATTAAGTTTTCCCCATAATCGTGATAATGCTCTTAATGGAAGTGTGTCCAGAACGTGAATCTATTATCATTTTTTTTATTTTTTTTTAAAAAATTTTATAGTTATTTAAAGTTATTTAAAATTATTAAATTATATAAAAAATTTACCTGCCATGGACCTACAATAGGACGATCTATTGTATTATCTTGATCTTGTTTTCGTCGTTGTTGTTTTTTATTTGCTTCGTGTTCTTCATATTTGTGACGTAAAGTTTGGAAAGCAATAAAAGCTATTCCTATACCAACTGGTATAGGGTAATAATTAATTTCGGTATTCTTCCAAGCTATGTTTAATCTTTCTATTATTTATTTTGAAAAAAAAAATGAATTAATGAAAATTTTTTTAAATAATTGAAATACATAAATATTTACCAAAAAATGGAAGTTTTCTCCTTTTATTTTGTGGATTTGCATAATAATATCTAGGATGTGAAGAAAGTATTGATTTCTTGTGTTGTTTTCTAAAATAAAATTGATTGTTTTTTTGATGTTGATGATTAACATGAGCTCGGAAAGAAGTAAAGCGTTTCATTTTTTTAGGTTAGTAATATTGCATAAGTAGATAAATTTAAAGTTCGTAACTTTTTTAAAATATCGAAGTTACACGAAATCTCTAAAATCTTAGATTTGAATATCCAATAATAAAATTTTTCTCTTTCGTAAACCGTAATTTAAATAAAAATGTCCGTCACTACTGTTTCCAAAGATCCAGACCTCATCAAACTTAATAATAATTCAACAAATTCAACAAATTCATCAACTACAAATGATAAACCTAAACCTTGTTGTGTTTGTCTAGATACAAAAAAGGAACGTGACGAATGTATATTTAAATATGGAGATGAAGTAAAATGTAAAGATTTAATTAAAGCTCATAAAGCTTGTATGCGTAGTTATGGATTTAATGTTTGAATGACTCAAGTTGTTATTGTTGAGTATTATAAATGGTAATAGATATATTATTTTTATTATTTTTATTATTTTTATTATTTTTCAATTCTTTTTTTCTTTTGAATTTTATTAATTTAATAAAATAATAATCAATTACCAATTGTCACATTTATTTATTCAATATTCATTTTTAGTATAAAAAAATAAAAATAAAAAAAAATAAAGATAAAAAATAATAAAATAAATCTAATATAAATATTCATTTATTTCTATTTATACATTCTTTAATTTCATCTTTTCCAATTTACACCTTCGTCACTAAAATCTTGTCTCCATATAAATTCTTCAATGTAATACATATCCTTCACATGACAATTATCTTTACAACTATATACAAGTATTGTACCCCAATCAAGTGATTCCTTTTGGGTATTATCAATATTAAGATAATTTATAAGAGTGGATAAAATCTACAAAATTAATTAATATAATGTTGAGAATAAATAACATAAAATAATTAATATTAATAAATTTACCTGGAATTCAAAAGTTTTCTCTTGATTACAATATAAACAATGACTTATGTCTTCAGGCATTGATTTACCAGTATCACTAACCCATAATGGAGGAGGATTGTTTTCATTTTGATAATCCAATCTAGCATATCTAAAATCAAAACACAATATATAAATAATATATATAAATAAACTGAAATACATTATAACCACATAAAAAAAAAATATATATAAAATTCACCTTAATACTTGATCAGGATCCCTTTCAAGTTTTTTTTGAAATTTTAAAAATGCTTTGTCTACTCCAACTTTAGTATTTTCATATATCTCATCACCTACTGGAACAAGAGCCTTTGAATACTTATCTTTTTCTTTTAAAATTAAAAATATTTAAAAATGTAAATATTTAAAAATGTAAATATTTTAAAAATGTAAAATATTTGGATTTCAGATATAACAAATTTTAAATATACTAAATTTTGACAAAATAGATTTTTAAATAAAGTAGAAACAATATACCTAATAAATCACATTCATCTATAGTTTCTTCATCTTTATCATTATTTGATTCTCTTTCTTTCTCAGAAATAATTTCATATTCTGGAAATAAAACTTCTTTTATACAAAGATCAGTACTAATATTATCATTTTTATTATTGTTGTTATTATTGTCAGTGTCACAATATTCTTTATGTTTTCCAGTTTTCCAATGAATAGTTTGATGTTCTTTTGAACAATAATAAGTTTTCTTACATTTCCCACATCTCTTGGAACCATGTAAACCACATATAATGCATGTTTTTGCTAAATATATTAATAAATAAAATAAATAAATTAACTAATTATTAAGAAAAAGATAGATTGTTAGAGTAAGATTATTATAAAGACATATTTACCAGTGACAAATTTATTCGACAATTCATTATTTTTAGGTTTTTTGTCATTATTATCTGTTGTTTTATCACTAGGTGATGGCCAATACGGATTATCTTTTGGTAATTGACTTCGAAATACTTTTAAGCTGACCATTTTTTTTTTAAAAAAAAAAAAAATTAATAAATAATATTATAATTCAAGAAGATTACATATAAATTTATAATTCTATACCTTTTCTGCCAGGAAATTTTATGACATGAACCTTTTTTGCAACAAAAGACGTATACAGTACGATGAAAAGCTTCAGGCGGATGATCTTCTGGAGTATAAAGCTATAAATGATAATAATGATAATTATAAATGGGAAAAAGAAAAAAAAAAATATGGAAACAGAGAAATTACCTGAATCAAAAGAACCATAGGCTTCTTACAAACATCACAACTGACTTGTTCAGCAGATAAAATATGTTCAGGATTTAACCATGCCTGAAATGCATGAAATATGGAACATGGAACACACACACACATATATATATAATATACTTAATATTTTGTAGTTATATAAATAATTATAATAAATAAATACAATTACAGGTAATCCACCAATTTTACTTGGAAAAAGATCAGGAGTAAGTGGTATTTCTGGTGGCTCGGCGAAGCCAAGTTCTACGACCTTAGTCGAAGAGGAGGCTGCCATGGCCAAAAATTAAATTTTTTTTTTTTGCACATCTTTATATAATTATAGTTACAATGACCAATAATATCTAATCCCAACGATCCACTGTTATAAATATTTATAAATTTAAATACTCTTTAATAACTAAAGTTCTTATAAATTTACATGATCAGGTGCACATCAAAAAATTAAATTACTATGATTCTTGGAAATCATGGAGTTCTATAGATTCTCTCGTCTTTCTTGGAGATCACGAAGATAACCCTAATATTCACATGCCCTTCAAGTTCAAGGGAATATTTAAGGGACCAAAAAGATTTTTTCAAAAAAAAAAAAAGTGGGGTAAAAGCCCATATTGGTTAGTAAATGGCAAATCTTTTTCAGGGTCTCGAAATATGAAACTCGAAAACGTAACGATATAATCTATAAAATAAATAACTGAATCTGTCATTTGATTATTTCTGGGATCAGGTGGCTCATTGAAAAAGGCAGGCTTATAACGTGAAAATAAAATTTGAAATAAATTATTTATTTATTCTTTGTCAAACATGCCATGCATAGCATATTATAATACATTTATTATGCGTGAGAAAAAAAATATACCCCTGAAAAAAAAAATATCGAAACAATCGTTCGAAAAAAAGAAAGGTTATTGAGAGAAAATAAATTTTATTAGCTGATAATTTGAGTTTAGTTTAATTAAAGTTCCATTTAGTTGAGTCTTAATGGGATAAAACCAATTGTAGCAGCGATATGAGCATGAATTTTATCTTCATTGGGTTTATCGTACCCTTTCCATCCACAACCATAATTGTCATGTGATAAACAAATAAAAATTTCTTTTGATTCACCATCTACTTCCTTAACGTAATAGACTGAATGAGGTGCAACACATTGAGGGCAAGTGAGAGAATTTTTATCTAAAGGTGTAACTCTTTCATGAGTATTCAATAAGATAAAAGATTTCATTGGTTCTAGTGAGGTTGAAGGAGGAATCTTTTCAATTATTGTTTTGTTGGTTCCATTTTTATCTTCATTCATTCCACTATTTTTATTATTTTCATTATCATTATCAGCGCCATCTTTGATAGTAATAGAAATATTTGTGGCGATAACAGGCGGCTTGGTTATTTTGTTGTTATTTTCAACTAGATTGTCAGAAATAACTGAAATATTAACAGGTTTCTCTTCTTCAAATGATTTTTCTTCAATAATTGAATTATTATTATCGTTGACAAGTATTCCATTTTGTATTGTGTCAGAATTAATTGATTTATACGCGTTTAGACTCATAATTCCGTTTAAAACTAAAAATTATAGAAATATAAATTATAAGAATTAATTAATAAAATAAATATTTTAATTATTCAATCGCTTTAATAATGTTATAAATATGTAAATAAATATATAAATATATAACTTACTTGTCATCTTCGTTTATTTTTGTCTGTTATTTTACGTTTTCTTGTTGAAAGCGAAGTTGTTTTGATTACTAGAGTTATAAGAAATAATAAAAGGAATGAGGACTAGGACTGAATGAATAAATGCAAAATATTCTTATATAAAGAAAGAAATTCTAAAAATATCTACTACAATCATATATCTATAATTAATTCTATTTAAAGTTATTAAATGGTTAATTCTCCCACAGCTTTGATTTTTCGTTAATCATTTATAATCATTTATATCTTTATCTATTTTTATTATTTTATAATCATTTTCCTTTTGATGATTTTCCATTCCTTTTTTTTTTTTTTTAAAAAAAAAAATACCAATATCCGAGAATCGAGTAAATCAATTCTTTTAAATAAAAAAAATCATTTAAGAAAAAGAAAAAGAAATTCTACATAAATTATCTAAAAGTTTATAACCCATAAGAAAGTTATTAAAAAATGACAATTACCTATTTTAAGCAAAGGTAAACAAGGTGAATTATGAATAATTAAATAGTAATTGAATGAAATATTTAATGATGATTATGATAGTAAAAAATGATGAGAAAAATATTTTCAAAAAAAAGAAATAAAGGGATGCCCTCATTTATATATATTTCTTAAACGACGTAAAACGTTCGTCATATGAGAGAAAACGCCACTTTTTACTTTTGTTTGTGTTATTTGAATCTTGCATTAATTTCCGTTAAAGATTCTATTATTATGCTTTATCATGGAATTCCTACAGATCACGCGGTTATAATAATGACGCATTTTAACATGTGACAACATCACTCTATTTTTTCTTATTTTTCCGTGCCTTAAAAAAAATATGGATATTCTTTATTTGGTATGTATGAGATGAGATAAATATACATTTTAATAATTTATGATTTATCAATCTGATAATATTTGATTTTCTCACAGAAAACAAAAACAAAAAAAAAAACAAAAAAAAACAACAAAAATGATTTATGGTTTATTTTTGACCAATCAGTTCGCGAGATAAATAAGATCATCTGATGTTGTCAGAATATTTTGTTTGAGGTTTAGTTTTTGTCACTTTGCTAAATTCTTTAGAGCTTGTACTTTTGAATTTAATTTTGAGCAACCAGAAATATTAGAAATACTGTACAAAAATTCATTAAAGAGAAACGGTAAAAATCGATTTGACAATTATAATTATCTTATTAATAAATAAATAAATCCATTAAATTTATTAATATTATGTTTTCATATTTTTCATATTTTTCATATTAAAGAATTTACATTAAGTTTGAACTACCAATAAGATTAAAAAGAATGATAATGGAATCAACTAACGGGGAAAGTGCGTATAAACTAATAATCTATAGTTTAACTGTAAATTTGTTAATTTATTAATTATATTATTTTTATTAACATGGGAAATATAGTTTTCGACCAACATCATAGTAATTCATCAAATCCTTTAATTTCCAACTTTAATAATCACTGTGATGGTAATTTTCTATTTATTTATTTAATTTTGTTTATTACTTTTACAAAATGTCAAAATAACTTTATCATTTTCTAATTTTTTTTTTTTTATCCTTCTATTTGTAAACATATAACATCACAGAAGACACAGAAGATTCTATAGTGATTGATCTCACCCAATCAATTGAAACGCCATTACTTGATTCAATTCAAATTGTAAACATTGATGTAAATCTTGTAAATGATATTTATGACCTTACAACAACTTCTTCCCCAAATCCATCTACTGAAGTTATAGTAATCGATGATGATACCCCAAATTCATCTCCATTACATCAAAGACATCATATCGAAAGTAGAATTATTATTCCTAGATCTCAACCTGCAACTATTGCAAGTGATCGTGGTGGTAATGGTCGTGGTGGTCGTGGTCGTGGTCGTAGTGGTAATGGTAGTCGTTCTAAGTCCAAACAAATATTAAATGGTCCCCCATTACCTGATCATTCTAGAAACATTGAAGAAAATCAAATTTATATTTGCGCCCATTGTGACAGAACATTGAATGTAAATGATACATTATGGACATTAGGTTGCGGGCACATTGTTTGCAGAGTTTGTGGCAATAGATTTTTAGCTAGAAAAAAGATTACTTGTCCTAGTTGTCATACCAGAACTAAATCTAGCAGTATGGTAAAATTATATTTGTAAAATTTTTTTTCTACATAAAAAATTCTGGCTATATCTCAACGATTATTTCTCTCAACACTTATTCTCTCAACACTTATTTCTTTGCATTTCACTATTTTTTTTTTTATTTGATTATTTAATTACATTCGCTTCATTATTTAGGAATTATGTTCGTTTTTATTATTCTCTTCGAAAAGTGACAATATTTTCCTATTTCTTTAATTCAAAAAGATGAATTCTATGCTTTGCTTGACTCTGACCAATCATTCATTTTTAATTATATATGTTGTTTCCTGAGTATAACATCTAGAAAAATAATTAGATAAATAAAATTATAAAATTTATCATAAATATAAAGAAAGAAAAGGTTGCTTATAATACTGATTCAAATGTTGTTAACAAATTTAGTGACACATCTTCACCCGGAGGCATGTCCACGAGAAGATGATGAAACAACAACCAAGAATCCTAAAATTTGACAACATAATTTTGAAACCGTTTTTTGTTTTTCAATATAGTTGTCAAATTTTATACGCCAAAATAAAAAAATTTATGTAAATTGATATATTGGATAGAATGAGCTGCATGTGATGTAGTCTATTTAAAAAATATATTAATGTAAATTTGTGTTAATTCTTTTGCGCAAAGAGATACTTCCATTAGTCACCATACTTATTTGTTTTAAAACTTTGCCCAGACATTGTCTCCAAATGTTGTCTGGAGACTGCGCAGGTGGTAAGAATTTGCGAAGAACATTGGCATGTATCCTGTTCTAAAGAATGTTGGGGAACTAGATCAAAGGTTTGTAATTTTTTTATCCTATTATAAATAATTTCAAATTAATTCTATTTGCAATTTTTGTAACTTTTATTAAATTAAAAAGATGTGTCTGGATATAAAATTTTTCCAAAAAAGATTTGCCAATTGATCTTCAGTAGCATTTAAAGCATCATCTGACAGGTTAGAAAGTTCAAAGTCATAAATTTTCTTTGCTAAAAATTTTTTTAATGATTTTCCAATTAATTAAATATGCTCTTGAGAAAGAGTCAAGATTTTCATAAAGATATCTAATAAATAAAAAAATTAGTATTATATAATATAGCATTATTTTTTAGGTGCATAACTACAGTTGTTGCATAAATTTTTGATTTATTTGGGTTTTGAAACAATTTAATAGAAATAATTGAAGCTTTGAAGTCTTAAAGTTATTTGTATATGACACTGTGGCATCTTGACGAATATATTAAAGATTGTATGTGATAGTATTAGTTGAAATTTTTGTTTCTTTTTTGAGCAATTCAAATTAAAACCCCAGAAAAAATGCCGTCACTTTGTTATGTTACTATTTTAAAGTGATCATCACCACCACAAGTTGCAAAGTCATAAAGTCATGATATCTTGAAAAAATGAATTTGCTATGCGAATTATAAAAAGTTTAAATTAATTAATAATTAATTCTACAATTGTTATAATTCCGGAGCGTAGCGTAAGGTAATGCCAAAGTTACATTTTTGATGCAAGCAATAAGCGAATATCAAAAACGTAACTTGGGAAAGGATGTCTGTCACATGTTACAATTATAGGACGAGATTATAGTTCTTATGTAGATCTCTTTCCGGTTTAATTTTTAATTTTATAGATAAATCAATTTATATTATATCTATAAAAAAACGTATATTAACATTAAGCAAAACTTTTTTTAACTCTATGATTGCCTTTCCAAATTGCAATAATGTTCAGGAACCAGATTTTTTTTTTTAAAAAAAAAAAACTAAAAAGAAAATAATAATAAAATTAATAGATTAAAAAGTTCTTCAATAATTATATAAACAGTCAAGCGATATTACTTAAATAATAATAGGTAAAAGAATTTTTAATCTTCCCACCTATATGTTTAATGTATTTGGTTTTAGTATTGAATTTTGAATTAATAACTCTCCAATGTAAGACATATTAAAGTTTCACAAGTACCAAGAAATATTATATTTATGTATAACCAAAAAAACTAACATATTATTATTTTTTCAATATATTAAGTATTGTTACTATTTTCGTTTTTTATGACGATTTCTATAATGTTATATCAGAAATTAAGTTTATCATTTATTTTACTTGATTTTTTCTTTTATTTTTTCAGTTCTAATATAATATCTTTATATTTTAGTGCTACTACTTCCTTTACCCTTCTTCTAACAGCATCTCTTCTTGGTTATATAATCTTTGTCCATATGATCCTTTAGATTTGTAATGCAATAAGGTTATTTGATAAGTTCATTCTAATAAATTATTTACAACTTCTTTTCTGAAATCTACTAACTGAATATAATTATACTCTGGATGTTAAAATTCTATAAGAATATTCTTTCTTCAGAATCTAATTCTTCTTTGGAATCATTTTGAATAATAACATCTTGTTCTTCATTTACTAAAAAATATGAAAGCAACATTCTTCATCAAACAATACAAAATTAGTAATATTAGAATCTTCTATTTCAGAATATATTAGGTTCCCCACCTAAAATTTATCAGAAATTTCGTCTAAAATACTATTCTTTTAACTTCATAAAACCAGAAATGAATATGAAATTTTGACAATAGAAATATAATTTTTTGTATAAATGCAAAAAAATTGAATTTTTATTCTAAAAAGAAAGGACCACTTGAAAACTTTTAATTAGCTATATTTAGTTTGATATTTTATATTATTAATTTTCTATTTTCATAACCCTAATCTTTTTTTTTGTCCAAATCATCCCAATAAGTTAATACAGTATCAGAGGGTCTTATATAATATGCAAATAAAGTTTCCAAATCATCTTTTCTTCTTTTTATGGATAATGTCACGTAGTTTTAAATTTTTTTGATCAGATTTGAATGTTGGTAATTCATTCCTTTCTTGTATTGAATTTTCACCAAGTAGATTATTAAAAGGATTGGTATTTTTTTTTGGTATTTTTGATTTTATTTTTCTTTTAAGTCTGAAACCTTTGTAACAACTATTCCTTTTGCACCTCTACCTTATCAAATGCAAAGTAGTGTCCATTTTGTGTCAAATTGACTGAACTTTCAGATTTCAATAAGGTTTGTATTTTTGGATTTTTGGTTATACAGTAATAGCAAGAAAATGAATAGTTGAATGGGTATAATTTATTTTACCAGCAATAGGAAATAGAGGAGAAAATGATGATAAACATTGTATTTGTAATTCAATGTTTCTTGTACAAATACCAGTATGATGTCCTTTTCAATAGTTAGTCCAGTTATAAAAACAAAACCATGTTTTCAACAAATATTTTCCATATCAATAATATTATGAAATTTTAAATTTTTATTTTTTATATTGATATGAATTGAACTTTTAACAGTAATCCAAATTAGATCTCGAATTACCTATAATCTACTATTTTTCAAGTTTACCTAAAAAAAATCACTCCAAGAACAGCTGATATATTGTAAATTCCATATCCTGAAAATATAGTCAATAATACACTAACATATCTTTACTTGTATCCCATTGTCCTAAAAGTGGATGTATCCTGGGATTGTTTTGGTAATACTTTAGAATTCTTCTAAAAATAGCTTTCTCACCAACTACTTCTATTTTTTGAATTATTATGGTTACTTCTATTTTTTGAATTATTATGGTTACATCAGAGACTGATCGACGAGAAAATTTTTTTATCTGACCGCTAAGTCTTTGCTGACTGATAAAACCACACCACACCTCATTATTTATTATTGCACAAGAAATAATGTATACTCGTAAAACTGTAAAATTCACAATTATAGCAACTGATTTTACATCATTTTTTCGGTTAGAATCATTTTCAAATTGTTTTTTTCAGATTCAAAAAATTCACATATATGAGAAACTCGAGTTGATCATAATAGTGTAATAATTAATAATCAACTTTTAATTTTTAATAAATGGAAAGGGGATGAAAGTATAAATATACGTTTTCTGAGATGTTTTATTTGAATTTGACAGAACCATTTGATAGCAAAAGTAAACCGTAGAAATTAGTCGAGTAAGGAGTGTTTCCAATATATACATTTTATCAACTGCCATAGTTAGTACACTAGATAACGATATAATTTATCTAATGGAGAGATATAACTACTAATGAATTTGATTATTCAAATCCAGTATATATGTATAATTATTCCAACTCCTTTTGGACTCCTCAAAAAGTTGATAATGTTACTCCCAGATAAGGAATAACGGGAGTAATTAATAATGAAGAAATTATATATATTTTTGGTGAGGAACAACGGGAATACTTTTATAATGATATGCAAATAATTAATGTTTCCACAATGAATGGGTTTATATTAAGTATAATTTATGATCTTCCTCACCAAGCTCTGCATGTACAGCAACAGCTAATATTTGGTCAAAACGAAATTATGTTGAGTTTGATAAAGGAAGTTTTACAAATCGTTCAGAATTTACTTCAGAATTTACTTCAGAATTTACTTCAGAATTTAATTATTCAAGCATAAGCATGAAAACAGTAAGTTATAATTATTATAGTAACTAATCTTTAATTGCGATTTTTGCTATTATTAAATAATCCGAATGGATTAGACTCTTTAATACAGTAAAATCAGAGTGGGCTTTAATGGTATGTGTAATAAGAATATAACAAATTGTTTATTAAAAATTAATTAATTATAATCTAATAAACGTTTTTTTATTTTAAGAATGTTACTGGAGGTGATGATATTTCTCCACGATCATATCATTCTTCTGTATTAAGTAATTATAAGATTGTTAAAAATATGGGGATTAAGAATCTTTAAAAATTATTATTAATGCCAAAATATTTACACAGTATATTATTATGTTTGGAGGTATATAATATTACACCTACACCTACAATTGCTAGCTCAAAACTTGCAATATTAAATACAATATTAAATAAAAATAAAGATATTTATGAATGAACAATTCCAGCATCATCTAATTCTCTCCTTTCATATTTGGACATACTGTAAATTTGTATGGAAATTATATGATAATTACATTTGGTACAAATTCATGTTCTTAGGTAAAAATGGTATAAGTAATTCAGATCTGAATTCTCAAATATTTCTTTTTGATGTAATCAATTCCACATGGGTCACAACTTATATCCCTCCTACTATCACCACTGAGCCCACTGTGACTAATGTGACAGCTTTGGCAATTGGATTAGGAGTAGGAGGAGGGTTTTTCTTGTTACTTTGGTTTCTATGTGAGTTTTCTTCTGGAGAAAACATAAAAGATCTGTATTGTAAATAAATTAATTAATTTTTTAGTGTGAAGCAATTTTTATAGTGCAGGTTAAAATATTTTTTTGAATTTACTCATTTGTATACGAATGATACGAATGTAATAAAATTTTATAAGTTACTAAAATTACTAAAATTACAAATATTCTATTATTTAATTTCTAAAAGTACAAAATTTTTTGTCTTTTTTATAAATATAAATACACATAATAATAGCTAGTAAAACAAATATACCAATTTCCACATATAAAACTATTAATAAATAATTATCATTTTGATTATAAAAATCTACATTAGAACTATTATTATTTTTTAGCATACTCCAAGTAAACGTTTGGATATCAAGTAGATAAATATTTTTATTCGTATTTGTTGGTGAACTATTTGCATTTGTGATTTCACCTTAAAATAATTAAAATAATTAAAATAATTAAAATATGAATTTATATATAATAAATAAATAAATAAATAAATAATGGTAATTAAAGAAGAACGTATAATATGTATGTATGTATGTGAAATAAAATAAAATAATTACCAAAACTTATTATCATAAAATTTTTATATAAATCTGCTGTATGACTTCTTAAAGATGGAGGAGCATTTTTAGAAGAGATATTTGGTATTAACCATTCATAAGGCGTAACTTGTGTATTTAATATGACTGTATTAGGAACAACTTGTAAATGTGAATCTCCATAACATCCTCCATATATTATTATATGACCTTCTGGTGCTAAAAGAAAATATAAATTTTTTTTTAGAAACTTCAATAAAATATATAAAATATAAATACAGTATATGATGATTTAAAATATTTACTTAATACATCGGAATGATAAGAGCGAATATCAATTTGAGCACCTTGAGTTTTCTAACAACAATAATAACAACAACAACAACAACAACAATAATAATAATAATAATAAAGAAATAATTAAATAATTGATAAAAATAATAATAAAATTACAGTATATTATAATAAAATATTTACCATGGAAGACCAAGTTAAATTATTCGTGTCAAAAAGATGAAGCTAATAAATAAAAACATATAATTAATAAAAAAAACATATAATTAATAATAAAAATAATAATAAAAAATTATTATATAATTAATAAATAAAAAATAATAAAAAATAATAAAAAGTAAACCTCATTAAGATTCGAAGTTATTACAGGTTCACTAGGATCAAATCTTCCTCCTATATAAACAATAAAGCCATTTGATAATAAAGTCGCAGAATAATCTGATCTTTTTGGAGGAATATTATTGAGAGAAATATTTAAAGTTATCCAAGTCATATTAATTATATTCAATATATTCATATCATTATACCACATTTTAATGTCGTCGTTAATAGAAGAATTAAGGGGTTTATTTCCACCAAAAATATAAATTAACCCAGAATTGTCGATAACAGCTTGCATTCTTTTAAGTCCATAAGGTAAATCACCTTTAATTTGGGGAGTTCCCCATTTAAGGTTTTTTGAATCAAAATTGTAAACAAAATGTGAATAATCATCATCCCCCGTATAAGGATTTTTCATTAATCCACCAATTAGAAATACAGTTGAATCATTTATATTAACAACTGAAGTTGAATATTTAATACTGATAGGACTATCAGCAACAGATACCCATTCGGTATAAGAAGTATTTAAAGAATTTAATAAATCAAGATAGAAAACTTCATGACGATCGCCAGCGAAATAAAAAATTTTGTTATTTATTAACACGCTATTAAGTCCAATTCTAGTTTCTGGATAGAAACAATAAATTCCATCAATCAAAATAAATAAAAGAATGTTAAATAAAAAAATCATATTATTATTTTTTAATTTTTAATTTTTTTTTATGAATTAGGTAAAGGAATCTAAAGGCGATTTATTATTTCTTTAAACATTACATTTCTAGAAACTAATTTAATATATTACATTCATTTAAAGAATATTCCTTTTTCCATCAATCTTCAAATCGAATTTGAATAAACATGTTTCACTAACCTCATGAAATAAAATCACATGCTAGAGATGGATTTGAATCCGACTGGCCAGGTTATTTATCCAATGAAACCTATTTTAAACACACTTCTAGTTATCGTATCGACTTAAAATTTTAGATCAGGTGATATCCTCCCCAGCCAAATTATTAATTTTATTTATTTTTTCGAATTGAAAAAACTCAATATTTTATTAAGGAAACTACCTATCAACTCTTAAGTAAAAATATTTGGCACAAAATTTTACATATATTTTTAGTTTTTAAAAATATTTTATTAAGTAAATAAGAGTTTAGACCTGTTATTAAGTACTTGTCAACCCATCAACCTCACCCCCTTACCCTGCGGAAATTCCTTTCTTCAAAGGTTTAATAACGTTATTTTATCTTATTTTTTCTTGTATTTTGTTTTACTTTACAAAATCTGTTATCTATAAGTATTAAGAGGTAAATAAAAAAAAATTTTTCGTGTAACAGATTATCAGTCAATTTTTATAATCAGCCAGCCGAAATGTTTATTATGAAAATCACAATAGATACGCCATAGACGCATGACAAGATGCGAGATACACAATGACGATAAAAACAGGAATTAAATGATTAATAAAGTAATAAAAGTAAATAAATAAATTTAAATAAATTTAAATAAATAATTAATAATAATAATAATAATAATAATAATAAAGTGATTATAAGTAATTAATGATAATTGAAATGATTATAAAGTAAATTAAGACTTCTAGGTAAAATATTCTATTTTTACAAAATAAATAAATTAATAAATTAATAAATTAAAATACTCGTACAGCATCGTTCATTATTTGATCCAATTCCTAAATAATAGAATAATAATAATATAGAAATTAATAATTAATATAAAATAGGAAAATATAAAATAAAATATCAAGTATAAAATATAATATAAAATATCAAATATATAAAATGAATTCTTACCAATTCCAATTTATCAAGTTCATCATTAACATTCACGAACACAGATTTAATTTCATTTAATATTTCATCTGGTTTAAATTGTTCAAGTATAATATCTGGATCATAATTCAAAAGCCATTCACTAATTCTTTTTTCTCTAATAGAAAAATTCTCTGTTCCTGATCTTATAAGTATTAATAATTCTTGTAATCCAAATTCATCTGATAATATCCAATCACTTTCTGCTATTGAACGTGTTGAAGATGAAGATAAAGATGAAGATGAAGGTAAAGATGAAGATGAAGGTGATGATGACATTCGATGTAATTTTGTAAAAGCTTCTAAAGATTCTTGGGTGGGTGTTAAAGAAAATTCCAATGATGATTTTATAGATAATTTTTGTTGATTTACTTTTGATCCAATATTATTAAAATCTTTCTTATCAGATAATGATTCTGCTGTTGGTGTTGATGGAGTTGATGGAGTTGATGAAATTGATGAAGTTTGTATTTGTGTAAAAGTTTGTTGTGGTGACGATGTTTCACGTTGATTTTCTGATAAGTTTTCTTTACTATGATTATTTTTTAAAATATTTGTAATACTTGGTATAGATTTTACGTCATATTGACCAGTTTTAACCTTTTGCATAACTCGATTAATCCTACTTTCAATTGATTGTGTTTCATTACCTTCATAACCGTTTTGACTTGTTTTATTAAATATTTTTTCCAAAATATCCACTTCTCGTGTTCGAATATTTTTACTGACATTATTCAAATTGTTCAAATTGTTCAAATTGTTCATATTATTCATATCATTCACATTGTCCATATCTTTTAATTCATTTTCTTTATTATTATTAATATTTATTAATTCTTCATCATCAGCCCAAACATCTTCGATAAGATCACTAATATCAATTTCAGTTCCATCAGTCGGAATAAAAGAATATCGAACTTTAGATGATCCAAAAATACGAGAACTTCTAATTGCTCCAATACTTGTAATAATATCTACCCCTTGTTCTTTATTTTTATGTGAAGTTAGAATTGATTTTTGTTTGGATCTAGAATATTCTCGTTGTTGTTTAATAAGTTGTTTTCGTAATAAAAATTCATCACCATCATCATCATCATCATCATCATCATCATTATTATTATCATCATGATCATTATTCTTATCATTATTATTATCATTATTATGTCGCTCTATATCTTCAGATGCTGATATAGGAATGGGCATTGCTCGTTTTTGATAATCATCGGGATATAAAAGTCTTAATACAAACATTGGTTCATCTGGATTATAATCAAATGTTAAAGAAGTGGATGAATCTAAAGAATCAATGGAAAAATGACGAAGATCTGGTGGTGCATGATAGATAGTTAACATATTCTTATCTGGATGAAGATATTTTTCTATAAAATAAATAATAAATAATTAATAATAAATAATTAATAATAAATAATTAATAATAATTAATTAATAATAAATAATTAATAATAAATAATTAATAATAAATAATTAATAATAATTAATTAATAATAATTAATTAATAATAATTAATTTTTTTACCTTTTCCATCGACAATCATCATAAGATTATATCTTGGTATTCCACCATCAGATTCTAATATTTGTTCACCATCATCAACAATACCTTCATTTATACCAAACTTATTCATAGCTTTCTCTATAACTTGACCTACTGTAGCTCTTCCTGTAATAATAATACTTTTCTCTTTGGGTTTTCCTTCTTCTCTAGATCGTCTTTTAGATGCTTTTTCTGCTAAATGTTTAGGCACAGACATTGAAACTCTGGGTACAGATCCCTTATGTCGAAGATGAATTGGTAAATCATCTGAATAAATAAGTACACGTAAACGAAACTTTTTTTCCAGAGAATTTCGATTATCAACTCGATTACTAACTCCATTACTAACTCCATTACTAACTCCATTACTAACTCCATTATTACTAATTCGATTATTAACTTTGGAACTTTTATTTAAATAGAAACAAACTAAATTTTTATCATCTCTAAATAATAATTTACTTATTGCTTCGTGACTTGATAAATTTGAAAAATTTGATGAAATTGAGGAAATCGAGGTTCGCTTGATTGTTGGCAATGGTGTAAGATATGATGAAGTTAATGTCTCAAATATTTCCAATGGGTAATCATGTAATTTCAGTCGAAAAGGTTCTTCTATAAACAAATTTTTTTTTGTTAATAAAATTAATAAAATTAATAAAATTAATAAAAATTAATAAAATTAATAAAAATTAATAAAATTAATAATTAATAATAAAATTAATAATTAATAATAAAATTAATAATTAATAATAAAATTAATAATTAATAAAAATTAATAAAATTAATAAAATTAATAAAATTAATAGATTTAATATAAAATTAATGTATATACAAAACACACCTCTATCATGGCCTTTAATGGTAATATAATAATCTTGCCAATTCTCTTCATTGCTTAATTTAAATCGTTTTATTGATTGTTTAATTAATGAAATTGTATTATTGGTTTTACCAAGAAGAACAATTTTATAAGCAAATTTAGATGTAATATTTTGTCCAGCAAATATGCGAACAACACTAAATACGGAATTTGAAGGAGTAATGGTAAGTGTCTTTTCAGAAGAATTATTTGATAAAGGTGATGATTGTTGAGGATGTGTGGGTGATTGCGTAAGTGATTCCTGTGATAGTATTTGTGTTAGTTGTGTTTGTATTGGTTGTGTTTGTATTGGTTGTGTGGATTGCGCGGGTGTGGGTTGCGTTGGTGTGAGTTGTGTGGGTTGTGTGGGTTGTGGTTGAGAAATAATATTTTTTTGAGATTTATTGTTCTTTGTTTTCTTTTTAAAAAGATTTTTAAATATTCCTCCTCCCTCTTTCTTTTCTTTCTTTCCTTTATTCTTTTTATCATCAAATAATTTATTACCAGATTTATGATTTGGTTTTTCGTCATCATCATCAGAAAAATCCATGAAATCGTTACCTACTAGAGACGGTGTCAATTTCAATTTTAAAGTTTCTGAAGATTTAATGAATTCATCCGATAAAGAATGATTTATATTATTTACGGTAATTTCAGTTTGTGAATTATAATTTAGTTGCTTATTAACTTCCATTTGTTTGCTTGTAATTTGTTGATTATTCTCATTATTATTATTCTCATAATTATTATTCTCATTATTATTATTCTCGTTGATATTCTCACTCTCATCGATACTTTCGTTGATGCTCTCATCGATACTTGACATTTGTGAGGTATTTACGAAATTTGTGTCAACTTCTTCATTAACTTCTGTATTATTATTATTTATTTCAACTTCAATTCTTTCTTTATTTCCTTTATTTCCTTTATTTTCTTTATTTTCTTTATTTTGATTTTCAATTGATTCTTCTTCTTTAGAATAAATTAAATCATTAGAGAAATCTTTTATTTCTAATTGTTTTTGATCATTACTTTCTTCATCTCCAAATAATTCTTCCTCTTCCTCTTCCTCTTCCTCTTCATCACCATCACCATCACCATCATAATCTTCATTTTCATATTCCTCTTCAGATTCTTCAGATTCAAATGTTTCAAATATTTCTATTGCAACAATAAATTCTGGTGATGAAAATTTTACTCCTTTTACTGGAAATTTATCAATATTTTCTGCTTTTCGTTCAAAATAAAGATTATCTTCTTCCGTATTATTTTGTGATGAGGCAATCTATTTTAATTCAAATTAATTAAGTTAATTATGATTATAATTTAATGAATGAATAAATTAAATAAACATATTAAATAATAATAAAAATAAACATACATCGACATTCCGATGCTTGTTTAACCTCGCCAATCGTTCATATGGAGTCTATAGAAAAATAATTCATTTAATACAATTTGATACATTGATATATTATTAATATTATCATTATAATTTATATTTATATTTATATTATGATAATAATAATAATAATATTATTATTATTATTATTATTATTGTTGTTGTTATTATTATTATTATTATTATTATCATCATCTTTACCTCAATGTTTTCAGCAGGAATGTAACCAACTTCTTCATTTTTTATAACTTTTACCAACCACCAATAACTATTTGAGTCATCCAACAATATAAGAGGATTATCTCTTTCAACACCAACTTGACCATCAATAGTTGCATCAAAATTGTGTAAAGCATAAACTAAATCAAAATTTATTTCTTCATCAGGAATTGAAGGTGATGATGTCAAGTCATCTTCATCATCATATATTATATTGTTATTATCTTCATTATCTGAGGATGAATCTTTATTATTATTAACTCTTTGACCCCGAGCTGCTGCTGCTGTATCAATAGTAAGATTATGTTCTCGATTCATTTTCAAAGTTATGGCTTTCTTGAATTTCTTTTATATATATATAGAAATTTAAATTAAATTAAACTGTAAAAAGATTTTATAATTATTACTTAAAAAAAATTAGTATGAATAATTCTTTTGAATTTTATGATAAAATAATTATAATAAAAGAGTAACATATATATTATACATTATACATTATATACGGATATAGATTTAAAGAGTAAATAATTAAATTTAAATTCGGATACACAAAATCGAAACAGTTAATAAATAATTAATGAACATCAAACAAAGAAATACAAAGCAATGAAATTTACTCTTGTTACACTGCCCACGAGCTTCATTCTTCATTTAACTTTATTTAACGTGGTGAATTTCTTTTCCGGTAAGACAAATATACTGTGGTGTTCACATAACTCACAGAATTACTGACACCTTTGGATGTTATTTTAATATCTAAAGTAGAAATTTTTAAATTCTAAAAAGTCAAATATATCGTTATGTGCGTAATTTATTAGGATTTATTAGGATTTATTAGGATTTATTAGGATCTATTAAGATTTATTAGGAGATTACCTGTAGAATTCTTGTTGAATGCATTAAAATTTCTTATTACAATGGTGACAACTGAATTATTATATGATAATAGTAATTAAATTTATATTATTTATATTAGTTTATATTAGATAAAGATATATCGAAAATAATCTATTCTTTAATTATAGTTTATATATGATAATTTTTTATTATTTAAAAAAAAAATGTGTAAGAAAAAATGATTTCATTGACAAATCAATTAATCAATTAAATATATATATATATATATATATACACAAATCAAATAAGGAAATATATAAAATATATGAAATTTTAATACTCAAAAACAAGAAAACTTTGTTAACGTAACAGGAAACATAGTGTGTACATTATTTTATTACGCACATTATGTAAATTAGTAAATCATGTAATAGAGACAGATCAACATACAATTTTTAAGTTCCAATTATTCTCAAATTCCGAATTCTTAGAATTCTTATGGATATGGATAACATGAATGGAATTTTAAATTTTCACATGATTTTACAAATCAATAAAGTGTTCATCGCTCCTTATTCGTATTAATCATGTGACATTATTGAAGGCTGAAGACACAACATAAAGAATTGAGGAAATTATTTCTTATCTACATGAATTATAACATTCAAATTAAGATATAATGAAAGGATGAGAAGGATAAAATATAATGGTCAACTTTTTTATTGACGTAATACAAAAAAAAAAAATAAATAAAAACCCTAGCAACTATCACAACATAATCTTGATTAGATGAAAATGCTTACGAAAACATTCGAAAGTCTACCAAATGAATGTTTAAGAGAAATATTTTCTTTCATAGAAAAAGATGGTCAATCCCTTTTCTCATGTTTGTTCGTCAGTCGTTTATGGTGTAAACATGTAGTCCCTATATTATGGCGCAATCCTTTTCGACATTTTCACAGTTTAACCTCTACTTATTCATATACTTTGTGTAGAACACTTCTTTCTGGTCTCAACGAAAATGAACAAAAAATCATGTTTCCTTACGATATTAGTCAATATAACTTCTCGAAACCTATTTTTAAATATACCGAGCATTTAGAGAAACTTTCGTTTCGTGAAATTGAAACTGCTGCAGATTCTTGGATACAACATGAGCAAAATAATTGTACAAATGAACCTTGTAGAATCCAATTAATAATGGGGGCAATTGTACAACTTATAATGCGAACTGGTCGTCGCTTAAAGGAATTAAAACTTTGTAGTGGTTACGTTTGCTTGGACATCAAGGAAGGTTTGAAATTTAATAATTCTGATCTGGGCTTTACTAATTTAAACAAATTAGTCATTGAAATAGAACATATTAAAATGATTCCAAATTTAATAAAATTATGGAAAATATTTCCTAATTTGTGTAAAAATCTTCATGAATTAGTTTATATAATTTATGAAGAGGATATTCTTGACAATAATATCACAGATTCATTATCTGAAATATTAAGTTCTCAGAAAAATTTAAATCGATTCTCACTTGAATTATCAGAATCTGATATTTTTCGTTCAGAAGATTCTAATGAAAATTATAAAATTCAAGTAGGAGGAATTATGTCTGCTTTATATTCACGTAAAGAATCATTGAATTCACTTTCATTGAATTTCATTAATTTCTCAGCGACAAACTTGGAGGGCATCACGGAATTAACCAAACTAGAAACCCTGGAAATTTATAATTGTTCGGGAATTTCTAAAAAAAATCATAACAAGTTTTTGAGATCGTCATTTTTCCTTAAAAAATTAATATGGGAAGATAATGATCCTTTGGATAGGGAGATTTTATTGGCACTTCTTGGAAAATCAGGCAGAACATTGATCAATTTTGGTACGGATGAATTATCGATGGAAACCATTCAGACGATAACAAGGTTATGCCCGAATATTAAAGAATTTACACTAGTGTATCATGATCAAGAGTTAGATGCATTCTTGAATTATTTTAAAGGATCCAAAATAAATCAATTAAATGTTGAGTCATCTAACTTCATTTATGAAGATGATAGACCAATTAATGTGCTAACGTTTTTAGGTGAATATATACCTCCGAATTTGGAGATATTGAAACTTAATAGTAAGTTTGATTCATTTTCATTTGAAAAATTATTATCAAATTATTCTATTTCATCATCCAAATCAATGCAAACAATTCACATTGAAGTTTTCTTAGAAGAGATTATAAAATACATTGAGATCATCTTTGATTATGTTAAACTTGGGAATGTATTGAAAAAATTGGTTATTCCACCAATTCAGTGGAAAGATAACGAGTTAAATTTTATTGATAAAATCAAAGAATTTGGAGTTAATATTTATTCGGCCGATTATAATTAAAAATTAATTTATTCTTATTATTATTGTGGCGTGGTGTGGTTATTATTAATAATGTGATTATTATTATGTATTATTATGTATCATTATGTATTATTATGTACATTACGTGATTATTATATTATTTTGGTATTGTGATTATGATTTTAGAATTATTGTGTGTTTTGGGGTCAATTTTACGTATATCTAGAGTATTTATTTATTTATTTATATATGCAATAAACAAAATTGAAAGGTACTTTATAAATTTCGAATCAAATATTTATAATATTTGTCACATGACTTTAAATATATTTCCGATTTAATAATTTCCAAGGTGTATATCAGCCAATTTAAAAAATTGACTGTCAATTTGTTACACAAGACTTTTCGCCTAATCTTCTTTTATAAAATGTCTAGACAATACACTTTTAACTGCTAATTAAAGTTCTTCATTATTTATTTTTTTTTACAATAATTTGCTTATTTTATTAGTAAAGAAGCAATATACAATAAGTTTTTCCGAAGTTTGGAGTGACCAATAGAATTAGAGAATGGGTTTTGAGAGATTTTGTGATCAGGTGACAGGTTAGAAATAAGTTGTTTAGTTGAATAGTCTACATAACAATGTATTGTAAAAAAACATTATTATATGTAAAATTTACCTCTAATGTATGGTACAAATAAACCTTAATTCGATCACATTTTTCAGAAATTTGAAATTTATTGTAATAAAGAACAATTATAAATATCTTTTAATGATTCCACAGTAAGAAAATCATCATCACTCAAATTCAATGCTAAAATTGAATCATTAACATAATTTATATTTCTCATTCCTACTAATATACAACCAACAGAAGAATTTGCTAATAATATACGAAGAGCTTTAACAGATAAAGATGAATTATGTAATTGTGATTCATCATCATCATCCAAAAGAAGGGAAGGAGAAATTGTCGAAAGAATTGAATCAAGATCATTATTCATGGAAAGTAAATTAAAATATGCATATGAGATAATTAAATTTGTTATTTTTTGTACTTCCTAAAAAATAAATAAATAAGAAAATAATGAAGAGTTAATAAAATGTTAAATAAAAAATGTTAAATAATATGTTAATAGAAATATAAAATATAAATCAATATGTGTAATAATAAAAATAAGTGCTATAAAATATAAAATATTATATTATACATACTAATTGATATTGTATAATCCACTTTTTCAATTTTTCATTATTTTCCATTAATTTATTTGTTACAGTAAAATTTGTTAACAATTCCAAAGCATTTGAAATATTTGGTTTAACTTGTTTTTCTATATAGTATTTTGTGGAAAAATAATTTTGTGATAATTTATTCATGTTTTCTGATAAGATTTGTGACCAAATAAATTTTGAAGTGATTTTCAAATCAATAAATGAATCTAAATAAATAAATAAGCATATAAGATATAATAAAAAATAAAATAATAAAATAAGATTTAGATTAACATTAAATAATACATACAAGATTCATTTAATTCAGTTTCTAATTGAGTAAGTTTTTGAAATTCATCAGCCAAATCATTTGTAATTTGTTCATAAGCTATTTTTAAATAAGTTAAATAAAATGAATCAAAAATTAAGTAAAAATAATTATTATTGATAATAATTAAATAGTTACATAAGTTATTGTTTCTTGTATTAACCAAAGGTCTAATTCCTCCTCTAGTAATTGAATAAAGTGGACGATTGGTAAATAGAAAAATATCATTAGACTAGAAAATATAAATATTTATATTTATAATATTATTAATATTATAGGTTAATATAAAAAATAAATATAATAAATAAAAAAGATAAGAAATATATATATCTATATATTTCTTACTTACTTTTGCATATTGAGCAAGAGAATATTCTTGAAATTCCATAATTGTATCTCTTTCAAATAAATTAAAAGGCACCTGAATTGCAAAAAAATTCTGTTTACTAGATTCAGGTAATCTTTCTAATATAGTTGATAATGATATATGATCAATTGCATCAGGTTTGGCCATGGTATTTGAACATATACCATAACCTTTTATTCTTCCTGAATAATTATTAATTAAATATTAATTAAATATTAATATCAACTTTTGAATATGATTAAAAATTTTTTTTTTTGGTATTAAATTAATTTCACCTCTTGTGACCTCTGAATCCAGGTAATGAAAAGCATGTTTAATATCATTATATAAATTATTAATTGAATATAGCTAAATAAATGAATTTTACTATTATATTAAATAAATAACTAAATAATAATCATAATGATTATAGTATATATAATATAATTACCTTATTCTTAGCTTGCATCATTCTCTCAGGATTATTGAGCATAAATATATCAAGTTTATTAAGTTTTAATCTTTTTAATGATTGATTAATTTGACCCATTAAAAATTCTGGTGCAATTGAATGTGCTGAATTATTTGAAACTTTGGCAAAAGAATTATCTAAACTTTCTATATTTGATGTTTCAAAATAACCTGCTTTAGATATCACCACCAAATCCTAAGTTATAAGAGAATATCAAAATATTATCAAATTATCAAAGTTTTTTAAAAATGTAATTTTTTTAATAGAATAAAAGAATTATTTAAATAAAAAAAACATTCATCAAACATTAATTTACATACTTCTCGAGAGACCAATTCTTTCTTAAACATATTTTCAAGAACGCTACCAATTACTTCTTCAGATTCACCCAATTCAAAATTTGCACTGGTATCAATAACATTTATACCAGATTTTATAGCATGTTCAAGAGCATTTTGATAACTAATTTCTTTCAAATTTATTCTATAACTACCAAAACCTAAACGTGAAATTATTTGATTACTCTTTATTATTTTTGAAGTGGGTATTGAAGAATGATTTTGAAAAAAAGCATTACTTTTAACATTATTACTAATACTAAATTTTCGAAATTTAATAAATTTATTAAATTTATTAATAAATTTTGAATTGTGAATTTGAAGAAATCGAGAAAACATCGGTGGACTTATCAGATATCAGATGTCTCGGATGTAACAGATGTCAGATGCTCGAATGTCACATGAAAAAATGAAAAATTTATTTATTATAAAATTGCATGCTGAGCATATATTATTGATCTAATTTTATAATAATCATCAGAAAATGAACCTTCTAAAATTAATTGACCCGTCGAAGTCTAATATTATATTGAGAATATGAGAATATAATTTTTTTATCATAGAAAAGATATAAATGTATTAAATATATTTTACCTTTCGTACAGCCACTTTTTCATTACAAACCAAAATACCTTCTCCTTTAAATTCAGCGACAATACCTTCTGACTGTAAAACTCGCTTTAATTCTGTCAATTTTACTTCGCCTACAAATACTGGATTATGATTACTTGAATTTAACTCATCAGTTTGTACTACATCTAATATAGGTAATGAATAATCGGGTGGGAATAGAATCTTTCCATTGATAAAAGCAATATTGTAATCATCAAGCTAGTGTAAAAAAAGAGAGAGAAAAAAAAATTTATAAATCAAATGAAATAAATGAAATATGCAGATAATATATAATATATTAAATATATTTATATGTATATTATTTAAAACTTACTTTTGAGAATTTCAAAGAACTGACCAAAGCATCAGTTAATTTGACTTGGTAAAAATTTATAGCAGCAGATACATTTAATACTTCGCCAACTTCAGGTGTATAAATATCTCTTGTCATTGATTCAATTGCTAAACAACTTTGAGCAAAATCATTAGTTGCTTCAGGAGATGCATGAACTATAATCTTTAAATTATTGTGTAAATTATATTTAGCATTAAATAATAATAATAATAATAACATTAATAATAATAATAATAATAATAATAATAATAATAATAATAATAATAATAATAATAATAATAATAATAATAATAA